TTCAACATATGATATGACTTTGAATTATATTGCTTGAAAGTAGCATGGAATTCAAGAAAGTCAAGAGAATCAAGGCAATCTCAATAGTGAGGGTGACGGCAACCTTCGCAGAAGTAGTCAGTGGAATTCAAGGAATTGAATTGAATTTCTAAAATTCCTTGAATTCCGAAGCAATCTCGATAGTGAGGGTGGGGGCATGCTTCTCTGAAGTAGTCAGTGGAATTCAAGAAAATCAAGGAATTCAATAGAATTTCTTGATTTTCCTGAATTCCACGGTGCTCTCTAATGTCAAGGTGATGGAGCTATTGTAGCAGCTTGAATTCCTTGATTTTCCTTGAATTGCGAATTTCTGGATGCTAGGTATATCTCTATTTGAATGCATTGCTCTTCTATACTCTCATATTTAAATAATTTATTTGGGCAAATATTAAGAAAGATTTTTCTCGAATAAACATATCAATTGGAAGAATATATTACAGGTGCACCTGAGCACTGTGGTTAATAGAGTTCGATGAATTAAGAGAAAACATCGATGCCATTATAGAGACATGAGAGATTCATGAGTTAAGAAATAAGATTGATTATCAATGTTGTAATTAGTAACCATTTTATTGAGTGATGGTTCATACAGAAACAGTCAAAGTGTCACTGTTTGAGAGCGAACAGAAAAGCAGCGCGTTTGATACAAATCTCAAGAAAAAATTCCGGTTACATCTCATTTGCGCTACCAAAGTTCAAGATAACATTCTATTTCTCTTCGCAATGTGCCACAAAATGTTCAAGTTGTAAATTGTTTGAACTAGATATAAAAAACAAAGGGAAGAAATTTTTGGTAGTTTTTCTCTATATCAAGTTCAAAATTAAGCATTACAATATTTGCATTCAATGAAAATGCTGTAAGTGCAATTTCTGTAGTATTATAATGAGAAACACGATGTAGCTGTTCGCGCTTATCAGAAGAAGATTGCTTTGTTTTTATGCATTTTCAGACGCATTTCTTTATCATTTTTTTACGAATGTTATTTCTATATGGCCTTTGATTTTATATCAACAGCAACTCTCACTGAATTTTAATTTATGATTTAGTTGATATTTGGCTTTGGCTACTTAAGTGACTATAAAATTTTGAAAATTTGACCTAGCTTCGAACTCGAATCAAACATTTACTCAGAATCTGCTAATAGTATATAAATGATCTAAGACCCGACAGCAAACCAAGATATACTCATCATTAAACAAGTCAATGAATTTAAAATGTTAACTGTTTTAGTTCGTACAAGTATTCATTAATTTAAAGAACGTCTTAAATCATTTTTAAAAGAAATCAAAAGATAAAATGATAATATTATTTTATTTATTGATGAAATACATCTAGTTCTTGATGCCAGAAATGTAGGTAGGTATAAATAATTTTAAATCTTCAATCAACAACTTAATGAATTATAATTTGAAACACAATGAATACAGCAAGCATCGATATTCACTTTTTATTATTAGATTTATTATTGAAAAATATTTGTTCTTAAAGCTCAAAGTAAACTTCAGTTGTATTGGTGCAATAACTTCCGATAACTATCAAAAATATTTCTGAGCAAACCCAGCTTGTTAAAGATATTTTCAAGAAGTTCTGGTTGAAGAGACATTAGTTGATGGTTTTGAAATTCGTTACGAATCGTACTTTTGTAGAACGAAAAACTCTTTTCTTTTTCAATATTTCTTAGAAGTGTTTTATTTAGTTCGGATTCTTGATTCATCTTCGGTTCTATCTCGGTTATTACGAAATCGAAAACGTTTTTCCGTTTAATATTCTCCTAATATTTTTTATTCTAGATGCAGCGATGTATGAATAATTTTTGGAAATTTTAAAAATCAAATTTGACTTTTGTTTTTAATAATTTTGGTGATGAAGCATACGGAAGTTGAGTGTACAAGCGCATAGTCAACCTGAAATAATTTATCAATTAGAATATTGAAACGACGGTATTGTCACAACGAGCAAATGAAACATCGAATCAACATTTAAAACAAGTTCAACAGCAGTTAGTGTAATTACGAAAAAACTCAAGTCATTAAAATTAAGACATGAAGTAGACAAGAAAAATATGTTTATCGAAATATTTTGTTCATCCACACTTAAATCGAATCAAGTCGTCGGATGACTATAGAAACTATTCTGAATTTAATATTGAGATATTTTATTGACAAAAAAACTACTTTTGATTTTGTTTAACAGTATGAATGACGAATTTTCTTGAAAAATAAATAAGTAAAACAAACATTTTTTTAGCAGTTTCTTGTAGAAAGAAATCTATTCATTAGAACATGTTCTTATAGAACAATCAGACAACAACATATGGTATTAGATAGTTTTTGAATATCGATTTTTTTCTATAGGTTATTTATAATAAGATTGAAACATGAAAAATAACTTTTAAGAGAACAAATCAATTCATTTTATCGTCGAATCATTTTTTGATTTGTTTATTTTTCAATATATTCAATATTTAATATTGAAGTAAAATAATATTAAGTTATTCGAAACAATGAAAAATAATAAAAATGATTCTAAATTAGTGACATAAGAAAATAGTTAATTAAACAAATATAATCATAGATAAGAACGATACGTAAGTCAATGAAATGTTTTTGTAGATTGATTTGAGAATATAAAAATAAGAATAAGACTTTTATCATCTAATCATTTATTTAATAATCGATCGCCATTATCAATTAGTAATAAAGACTGACAAGAGGAAATACACTACTGGATTATTAATTGATTTAAAGTTACAAATAAACATATTACATTTTCTATTATTTATTTACTCACTTCTCTGAAATCAAAAGTTTAAGATTGCTACATAGAATAGATAAAAGACTAGTTTCGAAATGACTATATACATTGATCTCAATCAAAATAAGACTTATTTAATAAATTAAACAAATATTTTAAATTATTCATTATTATTCATATTGAACAAATTATTTCATTTATTTCTATTCGTCTTATAGATTTCCTAATACACGTATACATTATA